GTCCAAGGACCAATACATTAGCGATCTGGCCGATAAACAGTCCCATACACCACACCATCACTAACATACTGATATTGTTCTCTTGAAAAAACTTTTCTTAAACTGAGAGGGCAAAACATCAGTGCAAAATTTCAGTTTGGTTTTACAAAATTTCAAATTGAATAAATGATATTTATTGATCTGATGTTCATCATTTTAAGCTCTATCACATACTTGTTTATTGACAAAGTATAAAACAAATAGTTATATTTGATAACATGTATTAGAACACGAATTTTAATTAAGATTAAAATGGAGACATGCATGCAAAGTCAAATATAAGAACTTGTTTTATAAGTTAGGTATCAAGCTATGCATTTTGATTAAAATAGTATAATACATATGTTATGTTAAATATTAACACAGGTTGTTAAGTTAGATTTTAGAGAGTGAATGTTAATTGATATATTTACATATGTATGTAAAGTAAAATATTAGAATATGTATGTTGATTTAAATATTTACATACATGTATGTATGTAAAGCAAAATATTAGAATATGTATGTTAATTTAAATATTTACATATGTATGTAAAGTCAAATATTAGAAAACGTATGTTAATTTCAATATTTACATATGTATGTAAAGTAAAATATTAGAATATGTATGTTAATTTAAATATTTACATATGTATGTAAAGTCAAATATTAGAATACGTATGTTAATTTAGATATTTACATATGTATGTAAAATAAAATATTAGAATACGTATGTTCATGTAGATATTATAACATGTATCTTAGATTAAATATTATAACAGGTATGCTAAGTTTAATATGTAAGTATGTTTTATTTAGATATTAGAAGACATATGTCAATTTAAATGTTTAAACACATACATGCACATTTGTTTTCAAATATTATCACATATGAGTTGTATAGCATAGATATTTACTTTTAATTCTAAATGATTCTTAAATACGCAGTTATTTAACTTTCCGCTCAGCGTATTATCAAGATAATATAACTTAGAACTGAAACCTGACCTAGTGAATAAACATTACGTGTTCGTGTCAGTTCGTCCATTGACTGTTTAATGAAACATATTGGAAACATTTTGTTACAGAAACCTGTCCTAGTAAATACACATTACGTGCTCGTGTCAGTCCGTCCATTACTGTTTAATGAAATATATAGGAAACACATTGTAAATGAAACCTGTCCAAGTTAAAGAAAACGTGACTGTGTCAGTCCATATAATTGTTGTGATTTATGAATCACAGCGGTCAGGCGTTTTCTACGTACCTAACTTTTCCCACTCAATCACATACGCCTACTATATCAATACTGATTTATCATTTTACCTTCTATTTTCTTGTTCTGCGTTGTATTTAAAACAGTTATGTAAACTTTTATACGAAACCTACTAGAAAAAACAAAAGTCCTTTATTTTTTAATGGACATAAAATGGAGTCGTCTGTTAAAATAACCGTCAGCGCTTTCGGGATTATCCAACACCACTGTACGATGTTTAATAAAAAATAATATAATTTTGTACTGGAGAATTGATAACAATGACAATAACGCCTTCTTCTGTTCAAACTTTGGAATGTATAAAGTTGACACATATTCGTTCTATTTATACTCTACAACAGTCCACTTGTTGGGAAATATTCATGATAGTAGCATAAAGGGTATGTAATCTGTAGGGTTTAAAGAGTTCAAAACCATATCACCATTATATGTGTGGATAGAGTTACAACGATTTGTTGACATGCATGTGTTAAACATTATACATGCGTACATGATGTAAGTCATTACTCTTAGCCCATAACCTTATCGTTACTGAAGATAAAAGGTTGATAACACACAATTACAACTTTAACATTTTCCTACTGAATACATTCTATCACGTAAAAATCTCATTTCACGAAAGCCGTCGCCCATTTTAGCAAAAAATACGCTGTGGTGAAAAAATCTGAAACTTTGCTCTCCGTCCCCTCATTTAAAGTAACAAGTCTTTCTTTTCGGCGGTGTACCCCACCTATAATGACCGTGTTAAATGTCATACTATCATGTCATACTTTCATATCATACGATTATGTCATACTATCATGCCATAGTATCATGTCATACTATCATGTCAAACTGTCATGTCATGTTATTTTGTCATACTATCACGTCATAGTATACTGTCATGTCATGCAATCATGTCATAATATCACGTCATACTGTTATGTCATGCAATCATGTCATACTGTCATGTCTTGCAATCCAATACTGTCATAATGTCATGTCATACAATAATGTTATATTATCACGTCATATTGTCATGTCATATTAGCACGTCATATTGTCATGTCATAATATCATGTCATACTATCACGTCATATTATTATGTCATAATACCATGTTATATTATCATGTCATACTATCATGCCATACTATCTCGTCATATTAGCATGTCATATTATCATGTCATACTATCATGTCATAATATCATGTCATACTGTTATGTCATGCAATCATGTCATACTGTCATGTGTTGCAATCCAATCACGGCATACTGTCATTTCATGCAATCATGTCATATCATCACGTCATATTATCATGTCATACTATCATGTCATAATATCATGTCATACTATCAAGTCATACTGTCATGTCATAATATCATGTCATACTATCATGCCATACTATCATGTCATACTATCATGTCATGTTATTATGTCATACTATCGTGTCATACTGTCATGTCATACTATCATGAGGAACTATCCCGTCATACTATCCTGTCATACTATCATATCATACGATAATGTCATACTATCATGTTATGCAATCATGTCATAATATCATACCATACGATTATGTCATACTATCATGTCGTATGATCATTTATTTTAAAGTGGTCCCATCGTCTGTGCAATTTCTCTATGCGACTCTAGCTGTTATGAGGACGCAAAACCTGAAACAAATTTATAATATCCTAACAATGTTTTGTTTTAAAGCGAAATTGTAAACTTTAAATCTCATTAACAAGCTACACTGAGTTATCTTTGCCCCATAGATGTAAGTAAAATATTTGTCATATTAATGAAATAAAAGTTTGTTAATGATACTATAAAAATGATATAATTTTGCTTTCATATATGACTGGAATTTACTAGCCGAGATACGATTGTACGAACTTCACAGTTTGTCTATATGTCAGCTTGTCGCTGGATGAACTGAGTTACGAGATACGTTATATCAGAGACACACTCATCAAAGATATAACTATCTCAAGAAAAAATAGCTATTGGAAACATTTCTTTAAAACTTGATTTTCCACGCTGAAATAACAAAGTGCAATACAATGAGAAAAACGTTAATACTGAAAAAGCAGGGAGAGCGAAACAAGAGGAAAACTGTCAGTAAAAGAGGACGTCAAACCAGGTAAGCGTTTCTCACACAACATATAGCCACCGTCAATTCGTTGCTTGTTGTCAGAATAACTGTGACTGAGTGGAGTGCCATGAAGCCATGTCCTAGTTATAACATGTTATTAAGATGGTTCTTAATAATGCTGTTGAATGACCCGAACATCTGTAGAGACGCTTTTGACGATAGCTGTTGACGTTAGCCGTTGACGTTAGCTGTTGATGCTAACTGTTGACGATAGCTGTTGACGTTAGCTGTTGATGCTAACTGTTGACGCTAGCTGTTGACGTTAGCTGTTGATGCTAACTGTTGACATTAGCTGTTGACGTTAGCTGTATACGTTAGCCGTTGACATTAGCTGTTGACGCTATCTGTTGACGTTAGCTGTTGACGCTATCTGTTGACGCTAGATGTAACGTTAGCTGTTGACGCTATCTGTTGACATTAGCTGTTGACGTTAGCTGTATACGTTAGCCGTTGACATTAGCTGTTGACGTTAGCTGATTACGTTAGCTGTTTACGTTAGCTGTTGACGCTAACTGTTGACGTTAGCTGTTGACGCTATCTGTTGACATTAGCTGTTGACGCTATCTGTTGACGCTATCTGTTGACGTTAGCTGTTGACGCTAACTGTTGACGTTAGCTGTTGACGCTATCTGTTGACGCTAGATGTAACGTTAGCTGTAACGTTAGCTGTTGACGCTAGCTGTTGACGTTAGCTGATGACGTTATTTGTTGACGCTAACTGTTGACGTTAGCTGTTGACGTTAGTTGGTGATGCTTACTGTTGACGTTAGCTGTAACGTTAGCTGTTGACGCTAGCTGTTGACGTTAGCTATTGACGCTATCTGTTGACGTTAGCTGTAACGTTAGCTGTTGACGTTAGCTGTAACGTTAGCTGTTGACGCTAGCTGTTGATGCTAGCTATTGACGTTAGCTGTAACGTTAGCTGTAACGTTAGCTGTTGACGCTATCTGTTGACGTTAGCTGTAGACGCTAGCTATTGACGTTAGCTGTTGACGTTAGTTGTTGATAATAGCCGTTGACGTTAGCTGTTGCGATGACTCAAAGAAAAGATACTATGGAATGAATGACAATACAATAGTTCTTCAATATTAGTAAACGCTATTTAATTTCAACGGAGAAGTTCATTGAAGTGTGTTATGAAGGAAGTATACCTTCCAGTCAGGCATTACTCGCAGTCAGTGACTAACCTAATCGTATCGACAGCCTTCCAGTAAAAAAAACCCTTATTAGTCCGATACTGTACAACAAACGATAAATTCGACGGCTTATCGCTATAATTAATAGCAGTGTAATTACCAATGCTCCGTTTCAGTTTACTATTAGAAAACTAGTAAATTACTTCTTAAAACCAAGACGTCGCGGACGTCACAATGCTGTCTGAAGTAGACAGCATGCGGCCAATGACGGGGCGGAACTTTACATAACCAGTGTGGTAGCAGAGAGCATGAAGCAATGTAAGTCACAGAGCACGCGGTCACTGACAGGGCTTGAACGTTACGATACCGACTAGGATTCGGGTTCATTTAACCACTAGCCACCCTATTGTGGTAGCAGAAAGCACGCACCCACTGACGGGGCAGGACGTTCCAATACCAACCACATAATACATTGGTTTATGTGAAAAAGACTTTTCATGCCAATTTCTTATCGTGTTTGTTGGCACCAGTTTCAGTTATTTTTATTTAATCACAGTACACCACAGTTGATATCGTATCACGTACAAACGAAATAGCTGCACAATCCATCAATGGTATATTGAGAAATATGACTTTGTTCGCTACGACAAAATATTGGGATTTACAAGCTTTTATTGACTGCATGTTACGCGTCCAAATCTGCTGGTGAACTCTTGTTTATTTGGAAAAGTAGGAAAAACTTAAAACCTGGTAAGTTCGTATGTTAAGTGATATTTTGACTGTTCATAATACATAACAATAGCTATGGTATCGTCAAAGACGACATCTGAATATCTGAACATTTTACAAAGTGTTCTTATACAATAATTGTTGAATAAGTAATAAATTAGATGATATTTACATTAACGAAATGAACCTATTCGGATACTTCTATAGGACTGTTTTCAGCAAATGCTCAAAACACATTTTCTGTGTGGTCATTTGTTGTACACCTGGTTCTTATTTACAGGATAACTTTTGACTAAATCTCCCGCTCTGACAGTGATAAACTGAATGACTGAAAGTGTTCCAGTAGATATAGCTGAAAGTGGGTTAACTATTAATATGTGTCTGAATATGATTAGCGGTTTCAAATGGTATATCTGACATTTTAGAATGGTTAAGATCTCGGCCAGGGAAGTAGCTGGTCTGACGTTTATCGCGATACAAATATTGGTTAATGAAGTGGCTAGTCTAACAAATTAGCATTCGAATATTTCGGTTGTGATATGTTTTAACTATTCTGAAATGACTTTATGTTTCGAACCGTTTCGTTCGAAATGGTACAACAAGTATCGTTACATATGAAGGATACTTCGGTTTTTTTACCCTTAGTTTTCCCTTTAGAATTTTAGAATTACGTATATCTTGAATCCGCATTTTGTTCAACTCGCGATAAAAACTTCTTAATCAGAAAAATCGATTTTAAAATTAGAAATATGTCTAAGATACCAATGTAAACACTTACGCAAAAAAAAAGGTTTTCACAAGAGGTTACAAAATATTGCCATTCAAACTATTTAACCACTTTGTAAATACCTTGATGTTATTAGATTGTACCGTTCTAATAAGACGTTAATTACACGTACAATTTGATCCCATAAGAACTTAATGCTTGACCATTAAATGTAACGAGCGAGCGGGATAAAAACAATATTTTCATAAGGTTGATCAAGGCCTAAAACTCTTCAATTTCTTGGATTCTTTTTTAAACTTTAGGAATAATATATTTACAGATGTACGAAAACGGTATCTATCAAGAATAATACACTTTGGTCTTATGGTTGTGATATCGCTTATTCACTTCCAAATCTCTACAAATCATGACAATACTATCAGAGTGCGGTAACTCATTTTGATAACATATATAAATGTTTCTACCGTCTACGTTAAAAGCATTGCAGGATATCGCCCAGAATTACTTGTCAAAAGATATTAAACATCCAACGAAGACAGGCAGCCAACAAATGACAAATATAGCGTTAAATATACAACAGGGAAGCGTATTTCCTTATTACCTATCTAGACTGAGGGACGCTTGAGCCTATCTTTCAGTTTGGTAAGTCAGTGAAATATACATGACCATTATATTTTCACGATCGTTAACCTTCCCTTTCCCAGTAGTAACCTTCCGTCCTATACTGGTTCGGAGTCATAATCGTAAAGACTCTATGCTATGAGGCACCTAATGAGGTGTTTTCGTTGTAATCTTACCTTTGGGTGATGTCGCCCTAGGTACCCCTGGTTACCATCCGTTATAGAGTTATTACCTGCGGTATGCCATGTCATGTCATTACGTCAAGGTTATGCTATTTCAGAATGTTGGTACTTTTAAGTGGACAATGAAATCAATCAATTTCTCAAAAACAAAAATCTAAAATTAAGAAAATATAAACTTTATTTTTTTTTACAACAGTCATGAAACAAGTTATTACAAATTATACTTATCACTTTAATTATCCTGGACGTTAGCGTGCGGGGTCTTAATATGGGAAGAAACCGGAGTACCCGGTGAAAACCCACGTACTCGGGTAGGTGACTCCATACCTTTTCACGTCCGATCGGGGAATCCAACTCCGACCGCCTTGGTGAAAGGCAAGTGTGTTATCCACTGCGCCTTCCGACCACAGAATCTATTGTTCCCACGTAAACACACTAACGCAAATGGATTTCGCGAAAACACATGTATCTTAACTGATACGGACTCGTTTACATTCTTAACGGTGTGATTGACATGTGGAAGGAAACAGACTCGTTACAGAGCTTAGAATGTTACCCTAGACTTACAATGAATTAAATCCTTTGAGTATAATGCCCTATACAATGTGTTGGTATCAGAGCAATCTCTCCACATTATCCTTTACTCATGTTAAAGAATTCGAAGTGGGTAGCATGTGTGTTCATGCCTGATACATTATGTTGCGGATTATTTATATTTACCCTGCGAACTGGTCTGATCTCATCACGAATTTATTTTGTAATGTTATAACGCCATATAATTGATGCATCGTTGTTTGTGATATTTCTTGATTATTCCAATTGTTGTAAATCTGACAAATTTGACCGTCAACCCCGTATTATGTGACCGTAAAGGGACATAAAAACATCGCACATAAGACAAGTGGTTTCCTTATACAGAATGAGTTTATAGACAGACAGACATATTTGAGAGGATCAACATCTTTCGACCTTTTACTAATAGGGTACGTGTCGGTTTGTGATATATTGGATGTGTATATCATATGTAGCCAATCAAAATTGATGATCCAGATACGAATTGGAAAGCAAAATAATTCATCTTTGAACTGTTATTGTAACACACTGACGTGTAGTAATACGTAGAGTGCGAAATGTCATTAAAAAATATACAGCCGATCATAACTTATAGTCCGTACACGACCTTTGTATTATATACCGGTTCCACTTGTAAGGACAAAAAACAAAAACACTTATCTTAATCGAAAATTCGAACACGTTTTGGATCATCAGAGAACGTGATTCTGCAATATTGAAAAACTCTAATTGCCAACTTAACGAATCACTTCCACGCTATGAACCTCTGACATAATCTCCGTCACAGTGTACTATCAAAACTGATCCTGGATATGTTCAGAGACTTCATTCGGGCCATTGTTATTCCTTCATGGTTTATCGATATTCCGTTTTTTCGTATTGCAGATTTATCTTCTCTTGTGAGCTTGTATTGATTGCTACGTCATTTGTTTGTGAGAGTAACGTCATCAAATTTTGAGAAAACGACGTAATTTTCTCACACAAACCAATGACGTAACAATCAATACCTGCTCACAAAAGAAAATAACTCTGCAATACGCAAAGACGGAATAGTATTATCGATTGATTTCACAAAGATATCGACACATACATGGCATATCCTATCTTCATCCAACTGACTTGTGCAAGTAAAAGTATCCGCCCAATTATCCATATTACGACCTCTGTTTAAGATTGTTTATGTATTTGTGGTGTCATGTTATTGGCTGGTACTGCTGCTGAACTTCTGCAGGTTGTGAGGGGGAAACAATTCTCTGTTACCACACTGCATGATCACATGGGGTGACTAATGAGAGATCATGTTCATAATCGGTTATTTTCTTCTGTGTTCTATGATTAGGTGCTACCGTAGTTACTGTACTCATGTAAGATACTTGAAACCGTTATGCTTTCGTTTTCAACCCTGTATACATAAATGTAATTCTATGTTTTTCTTGTCACATCTACCTTTGTCCGTGATCGTCCATCACCGACAATACATTGTTTGACCTTACTGAGTTTACCAAACATCCCGCCACCACACAGGCCACCACACAGACCACCACACAGACCACCACACACAGACCACCACACAGACCACCACTTTGGTCGCCTCCTGTAAACATGCAACAACGAACGAAAGTATAGGGGTTCCCCGCGCCCATAAGTGAGTTTTGGTTGGTCTTACTCTTGTCTATCACCGATTAATATTCTCAAATAAACAGGTTAAGACAAATGAATGCTCGTGGTTTTATACTTGATGAATGTGTTTTATATGATATTCAGGTGTTCGGATGTTAGCGATGCTGTGTGTGCAAGGGACGGACGGTAATCCTAATGTCTAAACCATTATCAGTGTTTACGAGACAGCTTCCATACTCTATTTGTTTTATGTAGTTCATGCTCATTCACAGGGTAATGATATTTTGTAGATATGTAAATTACTCTCGTTTAGAGATAATTCTACACAAATTAAAATTTGTAAAATGTTGCAACTGTGATAATTCCAAACTGATAACGACGAGATATGGTATGATTTGGATTGTTTACTAATGCAAAATGTATCATCTGTCTATGATATAGCAGTCGTGGGAAACGATAATGATAATATCAGGAATTTTCAAACTGTACACTATCAGCAGTGTATCCCGCTAATTAGTGTGCCGCTGTGTAGCAACTTTAGATGAAGGAGATTGTTGGTAAAATACCTGTCCACATTTACTTTCAATTTCAATTTCTTTCTTATCCTAGCTTTAACAACTACAGATATAATGATATCGAAAGATAAACGTACCTTTAAGATTTAATAGATACAGTATGCTAAAAATGAATTACACTTCATCATACAGCTGTTTCGTCCTTCTAGGACTTATGTCGGTGTTAGGGGGCCAAAATGTCGGTAATCCAAATTGGTATAAACTACTGTTGAAACAGAAGGGGAAGTGCTAAAAAAAACTTAACGTATGAATATATTGTCATGGGTCACGTTGATATCAATGTTAAGTTCCGTCTGGCCAACTGTAATATTCAATAAATTAGAGTTCCTGTTACAGAGACGCAACGAGTAAACATAATTCATTGTTTTGATTCAAAGTACTAAACATGTTAATGGAAGTCGTCATGCGATCTGTAAATCATTGCATTATACATTCCTCGGTTCAGTGACAGACTTACAGTCATGGTTAAGAGTATGTACAATGCATTAATGTTTTCAAGTCTCCTTTTCGTGTTCGTCTTAGTTCAGAGTATGTTTGTAAAGGGGGTTTAGGTTCTTGCGATAGATAAGGTCATATACAATCAATATCCAAACATGATTTCACCAGTTCATGTAACGTCATAGCCATTTGATAATCGTACGGTACCTCACCAAGTCACTATATATTCGGGTGATGGACTTTCACAGTTCCAGAAAGAGTAGAATATTTGCACTGAAAGGGAGG